TGGGCAGGATAAATACCTCTGAACACAAGCAACTAAAGTTGGCTAGGAGTTTAACTCGTGGTATTATTGACAGGGATCTTAAGCCGAGCTCTAATGAACGGAAGTAAGTTTGAAGTCTGTAGTAACTACTAGGGTTCAAAATATTTTGAAGTTTCATATTGTTTTTCAACATGGTTGTTGCCTGTGTAGCTCACATTTTAAACTGCCATGTAGTTAAGTTGGATCTTTGTTGAATCTATTCCAAGTATCTAAGCTCTATAAAACCACATTTAGTTGTATTTTTCAATATGATGTCCAGAGTTTAGTGCTCTTTAAAAGTGGCAGTAATGACAACTTTTCAAAGGCTTTTCTTTGTTATCTCTGTTGGATTGTTTTGTCATTCAATCCATATATATCATTTTAAGTATTTTTTCACATAATAGTTGGTGAAATTCTTCTCAAATAGGTGGCATATTATCTCCTTTTCCTTTTCTTTTAAGGATAATCCAAAGAATTTTAAAATATCCACCAACAAGGGCTTTGAGTGGAGATGAGAGACAGTTGCTTTGGAAATTTTGCTTCTCATTGATGTCTGAGAAGAGGGCACTAACAAAGTTTCTAAGATGTGTTGAATGGAGTGATGTTCAGGTTACCATCCTTTTCTCCACTGCTCCACCTACTACATACTTTTTATGTGGTTAATGAACAAAAATGTTATTATTGAAGATTGATTTGTTGATGTATATGTAGGAAGCAAAGCAGGCAATCGAACTGATGGGCAAGTGGGAAATGATTGATGTGTGTGATGCATTGGAGCTTCTATCACCACTATTTGGAAGTGAAGAGGTAGGCCTAAGTAAGATTAGGATGGCTTAAAATTGTCAATTTCCCTTTCTTGGAACTCAGTATGCTGTCACAGTGATCTAGGCTATTGTATTGTAGCCTTATCACTCACTAGGCTTAATGGCATGGAGAAGCTTATATTGTAAGGCTGGATGAACTTTTGGAACTGGAAAGAGTTGAATTCAATTATCCATAGAGTATCACATCAACAGTTTATCTAGATTTGTAGATAATCTACAATCTTATTTATAACTGATTAATGCTTAATTCTCAATCACTCTTGACAGGTTTGTGCTTATACTGTCCAATAAATAAGATGTTTGATTTTATTAAAATAATAAATATGTAGTGCATGAAAAAATTATTTTTAACCATCAAATGATGGGTTTTTTTTGTTACTTATTTATTAAATTCGAAATATTCATGTTAATTTAACCATCAAAGAAAGTGCATCTACATATCGAGGGAGTTCTAATATAACGTAAGATCTTTATTTCATAGTTTCTTATCAATGTTATATGATTGTTTGATTCTATATATCATATGAAAATGCATGTATTACTTTATTTGCAGTTTAAAGGAGAACAATGTTGGCACTCCTATGGCTCCATCTAGAATTCATACTGATGCTTCTCAACCTTTTAATAGATCAGCTTTATGTGATATTTCAAATTATAAGTGAATAAATGTGTGAAAAATTTTATATCATTATTAAAATTTAGATTGGTTTTCATATGTTTTACATCATATTTATCTTCATCTTTATGTTTTGTTTTATGTTAATCTCCAGCTTATTTGCTTAATCCTTCTGAGCATAGTGTTAAGAGAAAGAAAAACTGTGATGATGCTGTTTTCCCTGTCGTTGACTCTAGCCATGGACAGAAGTTAAGGAAGGAAAGTTTTGATTTTTTTAGAGATTATGCAACGAAATCATTAGTCTCTTCTTCTATAACGTAAGATCTTTATTTGATATTTATTTTTATCAGATTTATTTAACAGTTGTGTTATTTCATATTATTTAAATGTTTAGTAAATGAATATATGGCTTACTTTGTCTACTACCTATTTTTTAAATTCTTTTACTTGTCATATAACATCCCAAAAGGGCCAAACTAATTGGGATAGAGTTTAAAGTTCTGATTTGAAAACATTTCAAATACAAAGTAGTTGTTGAAAACATTTTTACTTAATAAAAAAAATTTTAGGATAGCTGTGGGGCATAAAAACTTAAGTACAGTTCATGCTTAGTTTAAATATCTAAGAACTTTACAAGTTTCCTCAAAACAAACTGATAAATGCTCCAACATGTTCTAAGTGCAAAATTTGGATAGACACATTAATGGAGCCAGGACCAGGTTTTGGGCTTTGTTTTACCAATCTGGATAGACATATAAATTCTCCACCATCTTCTAAACTTAAACTGGCTAAATAGATAGTTAACTTACCTCGAGTTAGCTTGACCATAACCATAATCCGCCTCAAGTCCTACAATTCAGCTGTTGTTGCATGCCTCTACACTTAGTATAGGACTAATACTCACTTACCTAAGCTGTGCACGACTTGGGAACCCTCTTGAATTCTTCAAACCCTAGCATTCTACAACTCTCATGAACTCTCAACTTCCTTTCCTCTTTTACCATTTGGTGACAAAGAGGGAAATGGCAAGATGAACTTAGTTCTCCACTAAGTTGCAAGATAATCCATTTGAAGTGTGAACAACTCTTAGTGGAATGTAACTTTTCTCAAGTGTTCTTGGCAATTACATGCCAATAGACGTGTATACACTTCTTTTACTGTTAAAAAGTTATCAACTTTTTTAAGTTAAGGCACTCAAGTTTAAAGAAATTTTAAAGTTAAGTATACAGGGTTGTAAAGACTTTAAATTAAGGACATATGTTTGTTTAAACCTTCAATTAAAGACAGGGTTGTTTCATATGATTATTACTAATTTGTTTTAAATTTCTCAAAATATATTAATTGAGTCATTCATTCACTTTATTTTACATTATTTGATGTAGTACAAGAAAAAATAAAGTTGTTGGTAATAGACGAAAGTCTTCTATTTTGCAAAGGAATAAAAATCCAAATAGGTTCTCACAAACGTTAGTAATTGATAATTCAAGTAATTCAAGTATAAATGGCTTTATAGGTATAATGCTAGACTCATTCATTTAAAGTTTAAGCTATATATGTTTTGTCTACTATTTTCTTTTTTCCCCATCATATATGAACAAGTTGTTATTTGGAAAGGGAATACTGATATTTTGTCTCCAATCTCTGATGTTGAATTTGTTTTTATTATTCTTTTATTGACATGACATTCCAATCTTATTAACTATGCATATTTATTGATAATGGTACCATACTTTGTTTTAAAATTCTTTTGTCTCTAATTTCATAGATTGGACTTCCCTTGGATTTATGGTTTTTT